GGCATGCAAAATACTAACAGCTTTATTACAAATTAAATCTGGATCTCATAAATTGCACAACGAATCATTTTTAAACAAAGGAATCTGTTGCTCACCACAAAGAGATTTTTAAAAATCTAGCAGTAAGGTAAAAATATAATGTACATTTTCACTCTTTTTTACATATCAAATATATAATCTTTATTTATCATGCAGTTAACATCACGCTAATCAAAATTTGTGGTTTTTATCAAAATATTTACAAAGGTAATGAGATACTTATTCATGGCTCTTAACGAAAGAGACAAAATACCTTTTTGTTCATGTATGCCACTACCTTGTATTTTGATTTAATAGCAGCAAACCCATTATTCTGAAAACCTAACTAAATTGTTTTGATGTCATTTACTGACTTTATGCTTCTGGATAGAGAAGGAAAGAAGAGAACTCAAAACTGGTAAAAATAACATAGCTTCTTAGCCTTCAGGGGGAATTTTTTATTAAGATACCACTTTAAATACACTTCTGATAAGCTTCTTTCACAAACAGGAAGTCCATGTAGAAAATAGCCATGCTCATTTGCAGCTTTAATTATAACACTTGTACTAATAGTATAAAGGAAACCTCCAACACTTACTTTTAAAGGTTTTATTTTAGGCTTCTTACATTAATAAGGAATGGGGACACTGATAGCTGAAATTTTTCATGTTTAAAGGCTCATTTGCAAAAAAACAAAGTAAATGGAAGAAAAATAATTTATGCAAGCACTGTTAATCCAGCTGTTTTGCTTCTGGGCTTAATTGGATTTACCTAGCATTGATATTTGGTGTCAGCATGTGTTATATCATCAACACAAGGAATAGTTACCCAATATAAATGAGGCTATGAAGAGAAGTGAACACCAAGATTGCAAACCTCAAACCAAAGGCAAAATATTAATGTATTTGACACAATCTCAGCATAATTACTTTTTAGTCATGTGTGTTATAGACTCCTATACCAGCTTTATGCTATCTTTTACATTTCTTCCTTTATATTTATCTGCTAAATACAGGCAGTGACGAAAACTAGCATTCGAGAAGATGACTTTGAAAATGGTTCCACATGTCTTCTGCCTGGCCAACTACTCCTGTTGACTGTAAAAATGTACGCATCGTCTCTAAAGGTAGGAGTGCGACGTCTGAATTTCAAAGGCAGGTATACATCAGTGGTAAGCAGGTCTTTGCTATTCACTTATAGAAAAATGAACTCATTCTTTAAAATTAAGCAATGAACCACGTTTGAGAAATCATTACAAATATATTTACATGTATATATATTATTCCATTTATCTGTTAGAAGTTAATATTAAATGTCTCCTGGTGAATATCAGGAATATTCATATAAAAAATATATGTAGGAAAGATTACTATTACCTAAAGAAAACTATCTTAATAGAAATGTTTATGAATATATATATTTACCATATGTATTCATCATATATATGTGTGTGAACCTGAAATATATTTTATATGTAAATACATATTAATATTACACATTTATAGGCATTCTACATATTTTGGTACATAACTCATATTCTTTCATTGTTCCTTGCCCTCTCTACCCTTTTTGAAAACATAACTCATTATTTATGTCAATACTCCTCATTTTCCTTTCCTATTGTAATTTTTTTTATTGCGGTTATTATATAATATGCTAAATAATACATTGGTTTATTATATCTATTGTTTACTGAGTATTGGCTATTTTGCTATACTCTAAGATGAACTTCATGAGAGAGAGGATCATCCTTTTATTCATGAAAACACCCAACATTCTGTAATAGAGCATGGCATGACTATTATAAGTGCTCAGTAACTGAATGAAAGAATGGATACTTTACAAGCATCATGCGTGTATCCATGTTTATATGTATTTTTGTATGTGAGGATACACACACACTCAGATATGTGTGTATTTAGAGTTTTAAATTATAATTTTCCTATGTCTTCTTCCTAGTTTTTCTTCTTTTGGTGTTTAAGCCATTCTTTTCTTCTGTATCATTTACGGAATACATGTGCTTAGAAGTATGATTCAAAGGGTCCAGCATAGTTGCCTCATATTCTGACTTCAGAGTTCTAAGATATATAGTATATCAAGCAAAATACTTAAAAAATCATCTTTTTTAATTTTCTTAGCTTTGGGGTTGCTCTGAGCTTGGTTGACCAGTAGTTCTTCCAAGTCAAATCAAAGGGAAAGTTGCTCTTGAACTAAAAGAAACAATGTAGATTGTATCCAATAGCATCTTCCAGTGAAATAGTCACTCTAGTTCAGAAGGATCATCTGAGCCAATATAACTCAGATGTGTTTGTATTAAATGCAAACATTATCATTCTGTATCAAGGTAGGAAATTATTACACACTATCATGTAAGTTGGCAAATCTAAAGTCCAAATGGCTCAGCCTCAAATATTTTTATCAACATTGGCAAGCAAGTTGGGCTGCTAAACTTTTGTGAGCCATGCAGGTGAATTTAACAGTATTGTGAATTGTGTTATAAAAAAATTAAATTTCCATTTATTCAAGTCTCTGTCCAAAATGTCTCTCATTAGTGATAAATAAATAGTATCCTCTTCATGTACTTTTATATTGTCTATTATAATTTATATTCATTTTGCCTATTTGATTTCTATCTGTTCTTTTTGCTAGAATATAAGCTTTATGAAGGCAAGAACTTTGCATGTTTTGTTCATTCCTGACTGTCCAGTGTTCAGAAAAATATTCCTAATAAAGTATAGGTGCTCATATCGTAGTTGTTAAATCAATGAATGAATAAAAAATAAGTAGCATGAGGAAGAAGATGTTCCTTCTAAAAAGCATTTGGTTGGTCCCCAAGATGCTTATGCACACTTCAAGGAAGAATTGAAGAGGCCTGGCACTGAGCTTTTCAAATAATAAATTCGTTTTCTGAGAAGCACTTTTAATCTTTCCTAGAAACCACTCTAAAAAGAGAAAGACTTTAGGAGTCACATTTGTCACAAGTCAAGTGTTACAGTATTCGACACCTATGATTTCATAACTACATGCTTATTCCTTAGAAATCGCCTGATTTTTGAGGTATTTTGTTTTGGAAACACAAGGTTGAGTTTTAATACAAAAAAAAAGAAAGAAAAAAATGTAAAATAAATGTGTTCCAGAGAAAATAAATGAATGGAGAAGATTGCAAAGATGCAGACCTCTGGCCATGGGACGGGAAAAGATCAGGATTTCCATTTTAGACATGTTAAGGTTGAGATGTCCTTTTGGGGGTTCAAAAAGATATGTTGATAATGTAGTTGCATATTTAAGCCTGGAGTTAGTAAGTTACCACCATATGGTTATCTAAAGCCATGTAAAAAAAGTGAATGTAGATAGAAAGAAGAGGTCTGATCATTGACCTCTGAGACGCTCCTACATTAAGCAATTGGGGTAATTGCATTTATCAAGTAGGAATAGTTACAGGATTTACCAATAGGAATACAAAGAAGCAGTAGTAAGGGAGGTAGCAGTAGAAGGAAAAATAGGCAACTGTGGTGTTCTGATCATCAAATATAGAAGAATATTTAAAATGTTGAGATTGAAATGCTGGAATCAAACTATATTGTTTTTAATGAGTTTTGAAATTATTCTATAAGTCAGTTTTATATCTATTTATTTTTCATCATAAAAATGGCAGGCAGTCTCGGATTCAAGTCATTTTCCTGCCTCAGCCTCCCTAGTAAAATGTTTTGTTTAGGTTTTGTTGTTGTAGTTGTTGCGGTTTTTGTTTTGTTTTTAAATTTATAGCATTTCCATTGTATTCTTTCTGTACGTCTGTGCTAAATTTTCCCATTTGCTCATTCATGTTGTCCATCTTTTCCACCAGATGTCAAAATATTTAATCAATTATTTTAAAGCCTCTGTCAGTTAATTCCAATATATTAGTCATCTATTGTTACGTTGCTCACTTTTTGTAAATGAGCCGTTTTTTTCTTAGATTTTTTTGTGTATATATCTTATAATTTTTATTGAATATCAGATATAATGTGTAGAAGAATAGCAGGAATGCAGGAAGATAATATTTATACCTAGAAATGATTGTACCTCCTCTTTTTCTTAGCAGTTAGAATGCAGGGTTTAGCCAATCTAGTCAAGAGTTTGTGTGGCTTGGGGTTCTTGTTGCTGTAATTATCTTCAATGTACTATGGCTTCAAGTAGGATATAGTAGGATACAGAGTCAGGACATAGTCCCCTAGGTTTTTTTCAGAGTCCATTTTTCCCCCATTTGTTTTTAGTCATTACTAAATACCTGCACCACAGAGTGGAGTCTCTCTTCAGGTTCTTGTCACTTTCCCAGTGATAGAATACCACACCAGGGAATTGATGCTTGGCTCATGGTAGGATTGGGAAGGTTCTTTGTTGGTACAACCTCGATCTTAGGCAGGACCTATGTATCTGGGCATCAGGAGTGATACATTTTTACAGTTTCCATACTTCCTCTTCATGGCAGCCAAACTCTCTCTTGCATTTGTGACTGCCATGTTGTGTATATGGGGTGGAAGGGATAATTCTCCATCAGACTCTTTGCTTCTGTACGTCTTACCAGCAGACACACGGACTGCCTTTTACTCCCTTGGACTTTCTTTTCAAGAGTATTTATATAGTGAATATCTTTATAAGATAAAGATAGTGCCGTGCCTTCTTCTGATGCCTCTCCTTTGCAAATTTGTTTGCTGTCCAGCATAATACAGAGATATTTTTCTTCTGGGGCAAAAATCAGGTAGATTTGTTTGTTGTCAATTATAAAAGATTTGAGGATTCTACATTAGGGCTCTTCCTCTGTAATGCAACTGACTGCATGTGAATGCATCATCTAACCCTCATCATGTCACCAAGGTGAAAGAAAACAACGACACTCTGACTACCACTACTGCAGTGAGTATTAAATTGCCTTTGTCTCTGACCCAGCAGCCTCATGGCATTCTGCCAGCATTGAGAGAATTGTGTAAAGCTAATGGGTTGTTAGCTTGTTAAAGTAGGGTAAAATCTCAGACACTTCATACTTCTTGAAAATCTTAGGTGGAAGTTCCCTGCCCTTCCACTAGTGGTATCAGGCCTCCACTTGAAACCTGTGTAGGGTCCTGGGTCTAAGGCTGTTTTGTATTTCTCCGCCCCAGGAACACAGGATTCAACCCTTTCCTCATAGCAATGAACTGTTGCCTGTGCCATAAGAGTTAACTCTACTCCTCCAGAGTCTAAGTGAATTTTCTTCTTCTCCTTTCTCATAGACTTAAACCATTTGCTTTATTTTTTCTTTTTAAAGTGTTCTACAAAACTTTAAAAGTGGTCAGAGCCTTAACCCTCATATATGCTAACAGCTTCTTTATTAGTACTCCTGAGAGGGAATTATTCTGGTATCCTGCTCAGTTTTTAGTCTTTCTCCTAAGCAAATGGTCGAGACCCACGGATAAAATACTACAACTTTCCTTGTGTCTAGGGCCCTTAGCAATCCCAAATAAACACATGAACCTATCCTCCTCGGCATTTAAGGATTAATTAAATTTTTTGCTCATTCATTTTGTACCAACTTCTACGGTGGTCATCTTTTTTACATTTTCGCTAAGCAATTTGTGACACAGTTTGCATGTCCTGACTCTCTTTGGATGTGTTGATTCACCTTTGAATTTGATTTACTTGTTTGCCTTTAGGAATTAGCTTTTTAATGAGTTTAAGACAAGTTATAGTCTTGTAGCTAATGCCTATGGTCTGAAGGTTTGTCTTGCCAAAATTCATATGTTGAAACCTAATCTCGAATATGATAGTATTGTAAGAATGGGCTTTTGGCAGGTGATTGGGTCTTGAGGGCTCTGCCGTCTTTAATGGGATTAATTCTCTTATAAAAAAAAGACCTCAGAGAGCTAACTAGCCCTTTACACCTTATCTTTTCCACTGTATGAGGACACAGCAATAAACTATTCTGTAACCTGAAACTGGGTCTTCACCAGAAACTTACCTTGCTGACACCTTGATCTTGGACTTCCAGCCTTCCATGCTGTGAAAAATACATTTCTGCTATTTATAAGCCACCCAGTTTTTTGTATTTTGTTATAGAAGCCTGAACAGACAAAGACAATAATCTAGCCTTTTCTCCTTGTTAGGTATAGAGTCACATTCTTTGCAGGTTTCTATTCTTCTAGAGGATGAGTCTAAAGAAGTGACATATTGTCAAATTCAATATTCAAATGGGATATTGTCTAGAGAAAAAAAAATGTTTAATTTGTTCACTTGACAAAGATTTCCCGTCTTACTAAAGACCAAGCTGTTACACTAAGCCACATTGTGAACACTGAAAGATGTACAAATCATGGCGGAAGAGTAATATGCATATCATTATCCAGGTTTTGGGTTGGAGGCATGCCAGCTTGGTTAGCCCATTGGCAAGAATGTTATCCCATTTGAAGTCCAGCTACCTGGGCTCCAAGCTTTATCCTTAAGAACTCCCACCAGGCGCGATGGCTCATGCCTATAATCCCAGCACTTTGGGAGGGCAAGGCAGGTGAACCACCTGAGGTCAGGAGTTCAAGACCAGCCTAACCAACATGGTGAAACCCCGTCTCTACTAAAAAGTACAATCAGAGTGCTGGTGTGCATCTGTTATCTCAGCTGCTTGGGAGGCTGAGGCAGGAGAATCACTTGAACCCGGGAGGCGAAGGTTGCAGTGAGTGGAGATTGCACTACTGCACTCCAGTCTGGGCCAACAACAGCAAGACTGTCTCAAAAAAAAAAAAAAAAAAAAAAAAAAAAAAAAAAAAAAAACCCTAAAAAAAAAAAAAAAAAAAAAAAAAAAAACACCTCCCTACTAGTCGAGAACTTCCCTGTTCCTTCCTAGTTTATCAGGTGACTAATCAGTCTCACATTACTGTTTTGCCTGTTGAAGTCACTGAAGGCTTCCTCTTTCTTCTCTTTTTCCTCACATAACTGGCTAGAGAGGTCAGATCAAACTAAAATTGAGCCCTCTAAACTGGTACATTGAAAGTAACTCTTCTGGCAACAGAGCCTTTCAGCCATTTGAGTTTTTTTTCTTGGCCATTTGAGTTTTCCTTCCACAAACATAGCTTCTTGATCTTTAAACTGAGAGAGTGGAATTAAGGAACCTTCAAAGTTTTATCCAAAGGACAATTTGTGACTCTTTTTCTTTTTTTTTGGTCCTCAACAAGACAGATGAATTATATGATTGAGAGTTGGAAAGGAACATAGAAATATACAAGCTAATCTTTTTGTTGTGAAAATGAGAAAATTCAGACTAAAGAAATTCAAATGATGTGCCCAAGGCTACACAGATGTAAAATGAAAACCAAAAATGAAGAACTAGATTTCAATCATCCGTGCTTGACCACAAGGAAGGCCTAGGAGAGGAGATAAGTGCTTGGATTTGGATTAAACAAACTGTGTTCAAATCCTGGATCTATTGCGCACTGATCTGTAAAACTTAAGCACAGTGACAACTTTTCTTTTTTCTTTTCTTTCTTTCTTTCTTTCTTTCTTTTTTTTTTTTTGAGATGGTGTGTCGCTCTGTCACCAGGCTGGAGTGCAGTGGCACAATCTCTGCTCACTGGAACCTCAGCCTCCCGGGTTCAAACAATTTTCCTACCTCAACCTCCCGAGTAGCTGGGATCACAGGCACGCACCACCATGCCCAGCTACCTTTTGTAACATTCGGTTTACCCTTTTGTGAAAAAGGAGTGACAGCAGCAAGATTTGCTTCCCAGGGCTGAAGTGGGCATTGAATGACGGTGTTGTTGAAAGTACTCTCAGTAAATAGATGAGGTCCTTTTGAACAGTACAGTGTGCTTTATGGTGTTAATGTATGGACTTTGATCAGTGGAAGAAATCGTCAAATCAGGGTTTCTTTGCCATGTTTTGAATGGAAATACATTACATTGTCTCATAGACGTCTGTTATACACAGGGAGGTCAGGAGTCCTTTGCCAATTTGGTTTATGCTATTATTCAGAATGGGCGAGTTTTGAAACTTTAATTAGCCAAGTTAACCTATCTGTTTGCTAATACGTGGAAGGTTGTATTGTTCTAACACATTGCAACATTTTGGATAAAAGTGTAAATGTGGGGGTGGGAGAAAAAAAGAAAGAGAAACAGATTTGGATCAAAGCTCCTGCGGAACAACTGCCACAGCACTCATTTTTTTCCCCCAAGGAATAGCTGTGGTAGAGAACAGTGCCAGCTTGGAGTTTGCAACGTTTATTTTCTAGCCAACGCTATGATTTTTATTCCTGTTTATTGACCAAAAATTGCTTCATTTACTGAACCAACCACGTAGCGCAGCAGAGAGGCGGCTGTGGTTTCGCTGCCTGGGCCCTGCGCAATGCCCACCCCTCTCCCATAGATGGCAGCATTTCACAAACAACGCCGCCACCGGGTCGCATCGAGAACTCAGCTCCAGTAATCTGTTGACAGGATTAAGGACCCCTGTTGTTTTACAGGAAGTAAATAAATCCTTATGGTATTCTGGAAAGCTCAGAAGTATATGAGAGTGGTAGGAAATTGTTTATTCTATGGCAAAGGTATCAAATGAATATTTACAACATTTAAAACAATTACCTCGGAATGATGTGGACTGGTGCTAAAACTCAGCCTGTTTGCATTATCTAGTTTAGAGTATTTGTTCAACTCTTGCACACAAGGTTTACTTTCTGAATACGGGACTTCTTAAGAGCATGAGTTCATGATGAATGCTAAATCTAATAAGATAGTGATATTTTCACTTTAGAAATTAAAATGTTATCTATTGTATGTGGAAATCATTGTGTAAGAAAGACATAAGCCAGATGATACTGTAAACTATAGGAACGCGAAAAATAATGAAGAGAATAAAGGATGTAACAATACAGGATGGATAGAAATATAGTTGTTGGGCTTATGCAAAGGATTATCTTCAACTTTAAAATCCACTGAAATTCTCAATTTTAGACAATATCGTTTAAAGTGGACATGGAAAAATACTGTCATAAATCTAGACCATGGTTTTAGTATTCTTAAATATGCTTCTCCGCAGAGGGTGTGGAGGCATAAGGAGGGGAGAAATACCTTACATGGGTGACGGGGGGGATGGAGGCAGCAAACCACCTTGCCATGTATGTACCTATGCAGCAATCCTGCATGATCTGCACATGTACCCCAGAACCTAACGTACACTAAAAAAAAAAAAATGCGCTTCTGAGATATTTCAAAAACGACATAGGGCAACAATCTATCAGTGAGATTTACCCAGGGGTGGATTAAACAATCCTACTCCTTAGATTTTTCACTGCCTTAGGGATGCACTATAATTTTCTATCCCTAATTTTTATGTAATTTCCTTTACTTTATATGTTTCAAGAAGCTGATGATTTTTGAAAAGTACATTTGATCTGTGGTCATGACTCATTACCGAGTAAATAAATGATTATCGTTTTGAGCTTCAACACACATTTTCTTTTTAAAATTTATTTATTTATTATTATTATTTTTAGAGACAGAATCTTGCTATGTGGGCTCAAACAGTCCTCCCATCTGAGTCTCCCAAAGTGCTGGGATTACAGATATG